GGGCTGTAAAGGTGAGGAGGGAGAGATGTCCTTTCAGACTTGCAAGATTCTGTTAATGAAATCTTACAATAAAGTAAAATTAGTCCATCTGGGCGTGGTTCCTGTCTGGACTACCCCACAAAGCTAACATCAATCTTGCAAGTCTGCAGGGACATCTCTCCCCTGTCGTCTTTACAGCCCAAGAAACTAGGAAGGGTCCCTTCTGAGCCTCTTGCCCCATCCACATTCCTGCTGAGGGCTCAGCTGCCTCTTATCCAACTTTCCCCCTGGCTGTGGCTCTTCCCCTGTCTCCCAAGGTCATTCTCACATACCATTACATTGGGTTACCAGTGCCAGTTTTGAACCCCAAGTGCTGACTCCTCTGAAATAGATTCCAATTGCAAGATGGCCTTCAAGATGCTCTCCTTATTTCCTAGTTCAAGTTCAGGGAAATTGGAAACCTGGCAACTAGAATCACCATGGAACCTGGTTAAAGTGTTGGTCTAAGAGCAGGGGAATTTACATATGGGTCCCCCCTTGGATGGGAAGCCTACGGGTTGAGTTTTGGCAACCTACCTCCCACCTCCTGGAGGAAAGGTAGCCTGTAGATCCAGGCCTGTTGGAACTTCAGTGCAATGCAGATGTTCAGCCCATTCATGGCAAGTCCAAGTTAAAGATATGGGAACTGAGGATTGAAGTTTGTTGTATGCCAACAACAGGGTTCCTCCTTCTCCTGTGCTACATGGCTACTTGCTTCCAGTTCCAATTAGAGGTGACACTGTGTAAAAATCTAGTTGCCCAGGTGCTACAGAACACACCAAACTGAATGTGGGCAGGAGCCCCCTTGCTCTCACAAACAGCTGCCCCCTCCTTGGTTCTTCATTGAGGAAATAGACCGAGTTTTGCAAAACCAGCATCTCTTGGTTTTTACTAACAAAACCAAATCAAGGTACCACAGTGGAGTGTTTAAATGCAGATATAGAAAAAGACAGTGAGGAGGGCGAAAAAGGCCCCAAATCAAAGGGGAGGCCTGGGCACGATCACATCTTTGTCAGCCGCAAGACGTTGAGGCGCACTGGGAGAAAAGTGGCACCCGATGCATACTGGATCTCCCGGAGGACGCCTTCCCACTTCTTCCCCTCTTCATCGTACCTGGAGAAGTCACACACAAACCCTTATCACTGGAGGAATGGACCTCGACTGACCACATCAATTCTCAGTCTTGAAGCCTTAGTGCAACCAGGACAACAGCAAGGGCTTTGCTCGACTTCTAGGAAGCTGAAGTCTACCAAGCAGAGCCCTTTGCCACAGGTCTCCATCCCAAATCACTGAGATAAAGCAGGAGGTATGGGGGAGTTGCCCATCCCCTGACTGCCTCTCCACGTATGCCCCCGTTCATGAGACTTGCTTTACCCATATTGGAATTAATCCAGTTTTCTGCGCATTGAACCATTCACTAGTTCTGTTTAGAAACCGTTCGGAAAAAAAATCAGTAAAAGCACAGCAAAGGAACATGTGGGCTTATACAGAGTGACCTCTGCCTATTTGGACATCTACACTTTAGAATCATTTTCAAATAGCTTCGTACGCAACCGAAAGATATGGATACCCACGCTGTGGCTCTGAGAAAGCTCTCACACCTGGCAAATGCCACCTAGGTGGGACATTCAGAGATGGATTGGCCTCTGAAGGCAGACACACGACCCATTTTCACACCTTGGGTCTCTTTATGTTTGCTAGGTGTGCTAGCCAAGGGTTTGGATTTCTCCAAGGGCAGGAGCGAGGGGGTGAGCAATGAAGTGGCCAAGGTCCCTCCCCAAAAAACAGTTCAAAGGAATATGGAAACCCAACCCAATGGGGTTCCAAAAGGATGTTTCCAAGCAAAGTGAATGGGTAACACGGGAGCAGACGGAGAAGGATTTAGACACCTTCACAAAGGCCCATCAACGGATCACAAACAGGTTGGCCTTAGCACATCATTTCCCACTTTGTAGCCCCACCGGCTGGAAACTCTGGGAACTGAATCTCAACATCTGGAACATGCCGGATGGGAGAGGACAGCTTGAAGACAGAGCCTATGAACTATCCATTGCTGCTTTGATTAACATCTGGCCACAGAAAGGTGGTCTAGAAGGCAAACAAGTCTTCAGCTTGATGTTCTACCTGACTCTTGACTTTGGCACTTTCTAATACAGTACAAGCAGCATTAATCAGGGTTTCTCAACCTTGGCAACTGGAAGACGTGTGGCCTTCAACCCCCGGAATTCCCCAGCCAGCATGAGCTGGCT